CTATGTAACCTTGGGTAAGTCACTAAACCCGGTTTGCCTCAGTTTCCTCATCTGTAGAATAAAAAGGAAATGGCAAGCCGTTTCAGTGTCTTTGCCAAGTAAACTCCAAATGGGGTCACAAAGAGTTGGATATGACTGAAATGACTTAACAACTACAAATGCTTCCTAAGACACACAATATAAAAAGTACTGATAATACTCTTTTAAATGATACAAATTATATCACTTCTAGATCTTAATAGATGGTTTAATGACTGGTGACCATCCCCTGAATGCCAAAAACATATACTCTGTCATCTTGTGGTTAGCCTTCTACTGATGAGTCTTTTTGAGTCCTCAAATTAAAGATACAAAAACTATATCCAGACTAATACCTGAAAGCTTTTTGGCAGTAGGACCTGCCAGAGCCTGTGTTCCTGGCTTAGTTCCTAGCCCAGTGTCCTATCTGTATCACACCATTAGAATAGGAAAATATTTATCCAAAGCTATATTTTACTAAATACTTTGGGAGAATTAATCTAATTATTGGACTCATATATACATTAGATAGTCTTCCTAACAAAGGTAGGGGGGAAATGCTATTTAAATCTTTGAAAAATAATTAGCTGTGTTACCTTGAGCAAGTTATTTTCTGTTCCTTAGAATCTTCCTTTATTAAATAAGTGAGTAGGACGAAGGTCCCTTCCTGTTCTAATGTTTTATGATTCTGTGATATGGCCAATAACAAAATGTAATTCATTGTTCAGACCCAAGGATGAATTAGCCTTCTTGGATTTATTTTAAGATATGTTTCATTAACACTGCAAGCGGAAATATGCATTTTTAGATACAAAAATAACATTGAGCCAATCCCCTGGTTATTCAAGCTATTATTGTCATCATCTGGTTGTTAGGCAGGATATTGGGTAAGTTGTGATTAATTCTTTCAGGATGTTAAGTATCAAATGTAGAATTTGGTGGAATGTGACTTTTTCCTATACTTAGACAATTTAGAGACTCATCCTCTTATTTTCACTTTTCTTCATATCTATCAAAGTTATTTTGTTCAATGTTAGGATGAAAATATAAGAAGGATTGAATTTTTAGACATCAAGAGATTAATTTTCTAAGAGACAGGTCTCTGCCAAAGAGAAAATATAAAAGTCAGTAAATGGGAAAGTTAGATGACCCTGATTATTTGCTTTTCCTTCCTGCCATATTCTAGGATAGTCATTGCAAAACATGACTGAAAATACCCTTTGAGTCAGAAAAGATAAATTATTTTGTCTTTGGAAACTTGGGGCTATTTGTTTCCAGTCACAGACATTGACCAGATTGGTAAGGATCTAGATCATCTGCCCTAAGATGCAACTCAAAAATTCAGGGGAGATTTATGGCCTCCTTAGTCAGTTCCATCTGAAGAGGATGAAGGCTTAAAAAGGAGTTATCTGGAGGCATAGACTGATTAGAGCCCATGACTAGGAATAGTGACATTACTTGAAGGTTAATACTAAGGACAAAGCCATCAATTGAGAAGAAATACAAGAGAAGATTAAATAGGCAGGATGTTATAGTATTATAGTGCCATCTAATGTGAGCTCTTTCTCCTAACCTCCAAGGCTTTCTTTCAGGATCTTTCAGGTCTCAGATATGGAAATCTTCTGCTTGTTAGGGCTATACTCCTCCTGGATAGAGGACAACCACCATCCCTTCTTATCTTTTCTGACACCTTTGGCCATTTAGCTCCCTACATCATCAGTCTCTCCTTTTCAAATGCCTGGGAGTGTCTGAGAACTATGCCTCATAGATATTTCTGTGACTCGTTGCAACTCATTGGAGAAAGTAGTGTCCTGAGCCACAGGGTAGATACAGGCCTGACTGTCACACAAGAAACTTCGATGGCTGCCCATTACATCGTTATCGTTGTTGTTCAGTCATTTCAGTTGTGTACAATTCTTCATGATCCCATCTGGGATTTTCCTGGCAAAGATACTAGAGTGGTTGACCATTTCCTTCCCCAGGTCATTTTGCAGATGAGGAAACTGAGGCAGACAGGGTTAAGTGACTTGCCCAGGGTCACACAACTGTAAGTGTCTAAGGCCATATTTGAACTCAGGAAGATGAGTCTTTGTGACTTCAGGCCTGGCACATTATCAACTACCCCTATTGCATCTAGGATAAAATACAAATTTCTTGCTTGGCATTTAATATGGTTAAGATATGACTCCAATCTGTCTTTCTAGCTTGATTTCCCATTTCTTCCCCTTCATGTACTTTAGATTATATGTATTCCAAAGTGCCCTATTTACTGTTTCTCATAACTAACATTTCATAGCTTTCTCCCATGCTTTCATACAGGCCATCCCCAATGCTTGGGATGCTTTCTCTCCTCCTTTTTGCCTCTTGGAATCCCAAATTTCATTCAATGATTAACTCAAGTACCATCTGTTACATGAAGCCTTTCCTTATTCCTACCAATTATTAATGCTTTCCTGCCAATTTACTTTGTCTATATTTCCTATTTACTTATCTGTAAAAGTGTTATTTCTTTGACATGGGATTAATTGTTTTGGAAGGAAATTTAGATATATCCTTCCAGTATTCATAGGAACTGGAAGGTCATCTCATTTAACCATCCACTCAATGCTTCAATCCTCCATTTTGTGTTCTCTAAAATCTCTGTTTAAATATTTCCAGTGAATAGGAACTTCCTGAATGTATAGCCACACACACACACACACATGCACACTCACACATACACATGCACACACATACACATATATACATTTTTATGTGTATGTGTATATATACACATAAACATAACTATATGTATATGCGTATGTATATATATACATATGCATACATATACACATACACCTATATACATAAATATATACATAACACACATATATCTACATATTTTTTATACATATACACACACATAGCTGTGAATTGCAGAAAGTTCTGTTTTATATTAAGTCAAAGTATGCCTCCCTAAAGTCACTGGTTCCAGTTCTACTCTCTGGAAATAATTCTTCCAACTTTTCTTTCTTCTTATAACATGGCTGATATTCTCTATCATCCTAACTCCTAACTTGTAACAACATTCCATGTCCTTATTGATTTCCTTAAAGTGTATATCATACTAGTTATCAGTTGCCCAACTGAAAGAGTAGGGATGAATCAATCTAAATCCATCAGCACTCTTAGAAAACAACCCTCAAAACTCATTTGGGTCAGACATATTTTCTGAACATGTTTTCAGTAGTCATAGATTACAAAAACAGCATAGACCTATTAATCTAGGGATCGTTTCTAAACTTCATTGGGGTGCATATTGCACCTATAATAAATGCTGTGTTGGACCTAGTTACCAAGAGAGAATTGACTGATTTTATTTTTACAAGAGAGGTTAACCATATAAGCAATATGATAAATTGGATAACCACCCTTCTGAATTATATGGAATTACCCAATTTCTCCAACTAAGAGATTTCCTTTCCAGTTGGATGTAGACTTCGAATAACTCATTTTTTAACATATAGCCATTCAACCCTTTCTGAATCTATTGTATTCTAAGCTTCTTGGGGACAAGACCATTTCATTTTTTATCTTGGTATTCTGAATACCTAGCACAATCAATTCCATGCAAAGTAGCTACTTAGTACATTTGTTGAACTGAATTGAATTGAGTCACTTCTTTCCTTTAAAACAGGGCTGGAAATCTGGTTGCACCAGTGTTCCTTAACTGTTTTTGTTTATAATATAAATTTCCACTTTTCAGCAGACAATAAGCAATTAAAAATTAATCTTCAATGTCAGTTTTCTGTGGATACCTATATTATTTTGAACTAGAAAATAATAACAATCATCTTAGATGGAAATGAACTACTTTTATTTGTTATATCCAATTTTATTTGTTTCACAAAGCCTCAATTGTATATAAAACTACTTTACTGGTAGGCATGGTTTGTTTTTTTGCTATCATTCTGTGTTAACCTTAGCTGTGGCCTTACCTAAATATCTAGTTTCATACATGCTATTATAATCCCTTTGTCCTTCGTTAGTAACTCCACCATCTGCCTGAATGTGCTCTTTTTTCTACTTACCATTCTTTTCATAGTCATCCAAACAAATAAGTCTTTTTTCTCAAGTTATTTTACTTAGAGATCAGCTGGGAGTTAGTTTCCTGATCAATTTATTAAAAAACAAAACCTAAAGTAAATTGGAACAGTGAAAAACATCAGCTATATTCAAGTTAAGGAATTTGAGGTTCTTTTTTTATTTCCTAAGCAAGCCCTAAGACTTGTTGGCACCTGGAAATTTTGTTTTGTCGATACAGTCAGTAATATGCTTAAATTCTATTCACCTGTTCATCTGTTAACTCTTTATGTTGAGAGGAAAGATTTGGGTCAGGATAATGCTGCCAGAAAATGTGAAATAACATTTGGCACTTGACTAGTTCATGCTTTGGTATTCAGTAAAGGCTTCACAAACCAAAGGTGGGCTTGGTGATATTGATTTGAGGATGCCCAAATGGATTCATCTGTCTAAAGTAGCACTTCAAATCAAAAACACAGTTTTTAGATGTATTTCATATATAACAAATTCTATTTATTTGTTCCATAGATACCAAGAATACATGCAAAATATGGCCTTTTGAACCAGAAGCATTTAGGCCTCCTTGGTAGCTTATTATTGTTTTACTTCACTTTCATGGTACACTTGTTTTAACATTTGAAAGTTTACCATCTCTAGATGGCTTTTCACCACCTCTTGATCACCCCTGAATTGTCTCTTTGTGAATGAAATACCTAGAATTTCAGTTCTTACATAACGGGAATAGCTTACTTTTTTTAAGTTTTGAGAACAAAAACCAATAAAGTACTATCTAAAACATAATCCTTTCTGGGAGAGCTTTTGTCTGTAAAAGATGGAAGGTAGGCAAAAGTTCTTTTTTCTAAGAAAAGTTTTTTTTCATCTAAAAAGGAAACACAACCTGTTTCTCTTTCTACCAACAGGTACAAGCATTTTCACTGTGTATGAGGCTGCCTCTCAAGAAGGCTGGGTCTTCCTTATGTACCGAGCAATTGACAGCTTTCCAAGATGGCGTTCTTACTTCTATTTCATCACCCTAATATTCTTTCTTGCCTGGCTTGTTAAGGTATTGTATAATTTGTTGAGATAAACCTATCAGACATACACATGTTCTACTGAATTTCTACTAGGTTTCCTCCACCTCTGCTGAGTCTTATGTTAAGTCTGGTTTATTTATCTATTTTTTCCCCTTCAGAATGTATTTATTGCCGTCATTATTGAAACATTTGCAGAAATCAGGGTGCAGTTCCAACAGATGTGGGGATCCAGGAGCAGCACAACTTCAACAGCTACAACACAGGTAAAGCATTGGAAGCATTTTAATTAATTCCAAGAAAAATAATTTTGATAAATTTCAAACAAGAAATATGCAATAACTTAGTGTTAAAAAAAAAAAAAGGCCTGCAGATTCATCCATGTGAATAGCCTGTCAGCTGAGGCAGATTACAATCCTTCTGTGACTTAGTGAAAGGTATTCATTCATTGTTAGGTCAAATTATATAGGATTTGGAGGTCAGTCTCCTTGTCATGATCCTTTTCCAAGCTTAGTTGGGTGATAGGATCTTGGATAATAGTCAAAAAGTACATTGTCAGATGTGTGTTCACAACCTTTCCAGTTAATTAAAACTTTCTCTAACTTCTTAGGAAGGAAAATACATTCTAGTCTATAAATATGATAAAGAATTCCTCCTTTCCCCACTTCTACCCCCTCCTTTCTGTAGATAGCTTTTCACATGGTCTTCTTTAGGTTTACCAAAAGTGTCCATTTCCCTTAGATCTAATAATAATTACTCATGTTTATATGATACTATAAGTTTTGCTAAACACTTGGCATACATGATCTCATTTGATCTTCACAAAAACCGTTTGAGGTAGGAATTATTATTATTCCCATTTTGCAGATGAGTAAACAGACTCAGAAAAATTGAGTGATATGACTAGGTTAACACAGCTAGTAAATGACCCAAGGTGGGATTTAAGCCCATATTTTCCTGACTTTAAATCTAGAAACCTATCCATTATGCTTGATTGCCTCTTTGCTAAAAGCAACAGGAGCACAGATATTAAATGTGATGTATTTCTGGTTCAGGCTTTTTTTTTTCAAATGAACAAAAAGAAGACCTAGAAATTATGTCATCTCCTAGCATAAAGAGGAAGGAAATAGATAATATAGCTTTTTCCTTTTCTTATTTTTTTTAGCATATTTGTGTGTGTGTGTGTGTGTGTGTGTGTGTGTGTATGTGAGAGAGAGAGAGAGAGAGAAATTATGAAGATGTGAAAAATACAGGAGTAAAATGAGTAGTACTGCAAGGAACCATTATTTCTTATCTTGAATTATAAAATAAACTTCTTTAAGGGAATTAAGGATGACTTTTTTGTCAAAGATCCAAAGTACATTTTTTCTTTGAAATATTTCACATATCTTCCAAAATATTAACTACCAAACACTGCCTTAAATTACTAAAAGCAGACTTTTCCTGCTTATTGATTTAAGTATAATAGCATTCATGTGTAGAATTATTACTTTTACATGGAACTTTTAAAATTTATACATGGGCAAATAATATCGGAATTGAATTCAAGAAGGTAAATAACATATCTATCAACTTCAAAGTAAGAAGTTAAGACTGTATAATGTTTAGTGCTATACTAACCTGTCTCTGCTGTGAAGCTTGAAATGTGTTTCAGTTAGGCTTTAGAATTGCTATCGGGACTAGAGAAGATACACTCAAAGAGTTGTGTATATTTTTGCTGCATGTGCTAAGAAACAAATTGCAGTAATATTACAGTATGAACCTGCCCATAGATCTTACATTCAAATGTACCTAAAAAATTATTTAAAATGACTGCATACACAATTGTTTAATCAGCCATAATGTTATAAGGTAAATACTATAATTAGAAATTAACTGTTATTCAAAAGCATTTCTCAGTGTAGGTTTTTTATTTGGAATTATAACCTAGTATGCATTTGCTACAAAAAAAAATAAAAGATAAAGAAAGAAGCCAGAGCTGGGTCAAATAATTTTGTGGTAAAGAGGTAGAGAAAGTTGGTGAATCAATTGGAAAATATCTTGAAATTCAACAGAGGAAATAATACAAAAATTTGCGGGAAATCTAGATTAAGAAAAAAGCTACTGCTGTGGACTTAGTTGCTAAGCAACAGAAATACATGTATTTCAGCCTCTTACAAAAACACTATTTACACTGCCTAGCAACCAGCCCTTCCTTCCTTCCCACCTCCTTAGGAGCAGCATGGCAAGTGGTCCTCATGTTCACTACAAGGTATGGCATAGAAAGAAATGCATTTGTTGTAGATCTATTACATCTGTGATCTTTGGAGGGGGAAAAATATATACATGAGCCCCACTCAAAGCAATTAATGCTCCTTTTCACAAGCAATCAAGTTTTCTTCTCATGCTAAGTCATAAAGAAACCTCTGACAAAAACTAAACAAAACGAACAAACAAGAGAATGTTGGGCATTATCTCATAAGCCCAAATTTGTTTCAAAAATGGAGGGTAGCTTTCTTCCTCTCTTTTAGCTCTGGAGTATTTGAATTTGTAAAGTATCCATAAGGGAATGCTTTAAGCAAATAAAAAAGGGAACCTATCATTTGGCCATCATATTCTTAAGTGAGTAAATTTTCCCTGTTAGAGACTTGCGGGGGATTGGGAGAAGCAAATTACACATTTGTCAGACAAAGGAGACTGAGACTTTGTAGTGTGTCAGCTTAGATGTAATTGTCTCTAATGCTCACTGCTGGAGGCAAAAGGTAGTCACAAGGACTGTCCCTACTTTTGAAAACAGTATAATAGCCATTTTTCATTCACATTCTCACAGCCAAAAACCTAGTCTTCTGTGGTCAATGATCTAACAAAAAGCTTCTGGAGGTCAATAAACAAAACAAATAAAACAAACAAACAAACAAAAAAAAAACAGAAGAATGAGGAGGAAACTGATTTTACAAAACTTGGGTAGTGAACAAAAGTGATTAAGTTTCCTGGTGAAATGAAAACAGTGAGTATGCTTGATTAATATTCGGCAGAGATGCAGAAAGTGAGATAGGAATGATAATTGGCTATGTGTAGGTAACATGTCCTTATGGATGTAGGCCTGATGTCAAGATGAGTCTCTATGATAGGAGAATTTCCTTCTTATACCAAGAAGGTCTACACTGTTTATACACAGTTCAATTAAATGCTTGATACCTCCCCATTGGGATGTACAACTTGGACTCAGAAGCAAACCTGATAGCCATAAAATATCCCTCAAGTCACACCATTTATTCAAATGAATGAGTTAACACGACCTCTGCAGGATAAATGGTTTTGCTAGCAATCACTGAGCAGATTCATGGTAGGAATAAGGAATCTGACACTTCTGTGGACATGGTAGATCCTGAGGTTCAGTGTTTTACAGTACTTTTTGGGGCTGCAGGAAAACGTTGGTTCAAATCCTCTGCCTAGTACTTACTGAGAACAAGTCACTTACCTGAATTTACTTGTCTGTAAAATAGGGTTACCAATACCTACTACAAAAAGCATTTGTGAAGCTCAAAGGAAATACTGCATGTAAATTTGCTTACTTTAAAAGAGTTATATTAATATCTGCTATTATCTGCTCCAATTTAGAAACATACTTTAGCTCCAGTTTTTATTTATAAGGTTTGGTCTACCCCTGGCCCTACACTTATCAAGCACTGCCTCTGTACCCAACATCTGGCATGGAATTTAGAGTGGCATATGATGGATTTAGGGGTAAGGAAACAGCAATTGTTAGTAGGTTTATCACTGTTAGTACATGCAGTATGTTTTTCCAACAAGAAGGGACCATTTCTGGGCCACAAGAATTAGAAGCTAGATTCTATCAGAGATTAATGAGAGCTAATATAGAAAGTGTGGAAGTTGAAGGGGGAAGAAGTAAAAGAATTAGAGAGGGGAAATGAGATTGTTCTTATTAGTCCTACCATTCCCACCAAGAGATCTCAATAATGCCATTACTAAGACATTAAAATGTAAAAAAAATTGTTTCTGTACCCTTCAATATTCTGTTCAACTTCAGTATAAAAGTATAATAATAGAATAGAAAAGGGAAAGTATTTTGATAAGGAAAACTCTACTCCCTCCACCAAAAGAAATATGTGCACCACTTCAAGTTTTAAGACAAAAAGCTTGCTTTAAAAAAGTAAAGTTTATAGCAATTTAAGAGATACATTTACATGCATGAAAACATATTCAAAATATATATTAGAAAACTACTTAATATGCATATATTAGAAAACATATATTATGTCATAATATATTCTAATACATATTATAAGTATACATATATATGAAAAATATTTGAAATCACTTTAGTGAGTGCCATGACTAGGAAGGTCCTTTATAGGATATGTTGTGAGGAGGATCTAGGTTGTAATAAGGAGTCATAGCAACAGGATAATACTTTAGTCATGAAAAGTGAAGAAAGATAATTAAATTTAGGGAAGTTGAATATGTTATTTAATATACTCATTATTTTATTATTTATATTATTATATTATATGTTACATATTGTTATATTACATATTATTATGTTATATTATAAAATAGTTTGAGACAGTAAAATAGTTTTTAAATATATTATTTAATAATGAAGTTGAGCTGTATATCCACCCTCATCAGCTTGTGTAACTAATGACTACATTCAGTTTCCAGATGATTAATTTCTTAAAAGATCTCCAACATATTTATGACTTGAAAAATAATACACACATATACACATATGTATATAATATATATGAGAAGGGAAATGAGATTGTTCTTATAAGTAAAGGAGAGAGACATGATTTTTTTTCTTGTTATGAATAAATTAAGATTTTCACTTGGTATTTATCCTTTTCCCCCATTATGTTTGATATTTTCTAATTGGCTTTTTCTGCAAGTAGTTCTTCTGTACGTTACCCCCAAATAGCTCTTCATTACTTTTTCCCATACATTCATCAAACCTCACCCCTCCACCACACCCCCAATAATTCCTAAATAACTTTGAATTCCATTACCCATCACTGTTAATCCCTAACAGTTGTAACCTTTTATGTCTAGGAGATTTTGCAGGTATTAAATCCCTATAGGGTTGAAGTTAATGGTCCTAATAAAAAGTATTCAGTGGTCATGGGATGAGTTAGGGAAATTACACCAATTTTTTTAAAGCACAAAACATTTTTAATGATAAGGCTTTTGGTAGATAGTACAGATATCATAAATAAACAGTTACCTCTTTTTGGCTCCAAATTTAGCTTCTTATTGGACTGATTTGTTCACTCTACTTTTGCAGCAAACCTTTCTCTTAAGAAGAGTTGTATAAGAGAAGGGAAAGGAATAGGAATAGGATTAAGCATTTAATTAATACCTACTATGTGCCAGGCACTGTGCTAAGCTCTTTTTCCAAATATTATCTCATTTAACCTTCACAACAACCCTGCAAGTTAGGTTGTTATTGTTGCCCTCATTTTATACTTGAGGAAACTGAAGCAAACAGAGGTTAAGTGATTTGCCTAGAGTCACATAGCTAGTAAGTGTCTAAGGCCAGATTTGAGCTCAAGTCTTCCTGACTTCAGGTCCAATGCTGTATCCACTATGCAATCAGTTACCTCTATTAACAACTGAAAGAATGCCTAGAAGCTGCCCAAAGCCTGCTTTGCAAACAGTTATTGCACAAATTCTGCTTAGATGACCTTAGAAAAGCTGCATTCATTCATTTCTGCCCCAAATAATCAAAACCTCACTCTTGATTCAAAAGACTAGACAGAAACTGAACACATTTGCATGTCCTTCCCTTCATTTCACACAAAGAAGTGACCTTGGCAGCATACTTTTACTGATGATTAAATTGATTTATTTGATTTTTGTCCAATGGAAAAATTAATTTAACAGAGAAAATTAGTCTGCTGCTGATCAAAGAAAATATGTACCTCAGGGATCTTAGGGCCATGATAAGAGAACACAAGATATATCAACAGAGGGGTTTTTGCTCATGACTGACAGGATTGATTTGGCCTTTTGTCTTTAGAAGGAAAGTGGGGTTTGTTTGATGACTTTGAAGAAAGAGATTTCTAGTCAGCTTATATGGTCCAGAGTTACAGAGGAATGCGTTGTCCATGGTTCTTTCCCAGAGTATAACTTATAAATTGATTTGTTTCCTACTGAAAAGATATGAAGCCTATGACTGGACAGATGGAATTAGCAGTGTTTCTGACATATTTAGGCAGAGCTACGTGATGTAAATAATCACTGTAATTATATTGTATCTTAGCAAGTGAACATGTACAAACACACACACAAACATACATACACATTCACAGTCCTAGATATTCTTCTGAGGCCTAGATCAACTCTGAATTGTGTCATTCTTTACAACCTTTACAACCTCTGCAACAACTATTTGACTTTTAATACAGCCAAACTATCAGATGACCTGCTATCAGAAGTTTACCCTATGTTATAGGATATGAGAGTTATGGAATGTCATACCTTCTCATATTTCCTCTTTTATTCCACTAGTGAATAAAGGATCAGTCTAACATAAGGATGTAAGTGTATGAGGCAGAAAAAAAATTTACATTTTTAAATGGTATTCTATAATGGAGATGGTATAGTGCTAGCTTTTTTGTTATAAAATACCTTTGATTAGTAAAATAAAAATTCTTATTTCATGAAGGGACAAAGAGGAGAAAATATTGGTGGGAAAAAATCTAAGTGAGGAATAATTCTTTCTACCAGGCACCTATTTAAAGATGAGATATTTGTTATAAGAAACAGTGGATGTGGTGGGTTTAATCATGTCCTCTAAAATTAGTGAAAATGCATTTGAGACTCAATGTGTAGATTTGAGAAGCAAGAGATATAATTTCTGGTGTTGAAAAACACAAGACTAGTTAGTCAAAAGTAACTGCTTGTTTCTGAAATATGCAGAAAATTTCAGCTCAACATCCCAGTTTTCACCTACTTTGAATAATCTTTACTTTTTCTACTGATAGCAGTATCAATTTCCTACTTTAAGATCAGCCTCTATATCTAATCACGTATCTCCCCAAAGAGACTTTATACTTGTTCTTCCCTTTATCTCAACAGGGAAGATTCTCTTAGGAAATTTGTGACAATTATGTTTTATTGGCATCATATTACCTGTGCTCCATGTTAAATGCATTGGAATATTCAGCTTGATTTATTTACCCTCACCTAACTTCTGTATGACTGGGACATACTAATAATAGTGAGCTTTATATGTGATAGCTAAAATATATTTTTCACATTGATTTAAAATAACAATGCTAGAAATTAAAAATGGTAAGTAACATCATGATGAATATTTGCATATTCATAAATTTACTTAGCACAAAACTGAACTTATATAAAAAGATTCTTGACCTGCCATATTTACCTATTAATCTGATTGTATTCTTGTTTCTCCTTTTCTTTCTTTCTTTTTTTTTTTTTTTTTGGCCTTGAAGATGTTTCATGAAGATGCTGCTGGAGGATGGCAGCTAGTAGCTGTGGATGTCAACAAACCCCAGGGCAGAGCTCCAGCTTGCTTACAGGTATAGTTCAATACTATTTCTATAAAATCACCCACAATTGTTAGCTTTGGTTGTAAACAACAACCCTTACCCTTCTTAGAACTCTAGATTCTCCATACTTATTGGTTAATTAATCAACCCCAAATATTTGGTGCATAGTGATGAGAAGTCAAAATGTTTTTTGGTTATATTGATAAAGGAAGAATTTGTGGTGAGGTGGAGGAAGAGTTAGTTGTGAGGACATTAACATTTCCAAAATCATTTCAGCAGATATTCGTATCTATCTATCTACCTATCTATCTATCCACATACATATACAACCATATATACATATATATCTACTGTACAATATACACTGAGTATAGCTTATTTGAGCATAAGGAGAGAGAAGGGGATACAATTTGTGTTTTAAGAATTAATCATTGGGGCGCTAATACACTTTTGGTGGAACTGTGAACTGATCCAGCCATTTTGAGGAGCTAGAATTATGCCCAAAGAGTTATAAAACTGAGTATGTTTGGTGTGTTTCCCAAAGTGATCAGAGAAAAAGGAAAAGAAACTGTATGTTCTAAAACATTTATAGCAGCTCTCTTTATGATAGCAAAGAACTGAAAATTTAGGGGATGCCCATCAATTGGGGAATGGCTACATAAGTTGTGATATAAGATTGTGATGGAATATTACTGTGTTATAAGAAATGATGAGCAAATTGATTTTAGAAAAACCTGGAAAGATTTGCATGAAATAACAAAAAGTGAAATAAGCAGAACCAAAAGAACTATGTATACAGTAACAGCAATATTGTTTGAAGAATAATTATTGATTAATATTAAAATCAACTACAAAGCACATATGAAGGAAGATGCTATCCACCTCTAGAGAAAGAACTGATAAATAGAAGTATTATTTTACATATAATTATAAATCTGTATCCAATGATATCCTTCTCTAGTGTGTGGTAGGAAGGGGGGGAGGGGGACAGATTAGAAGTTAAAACATAACAAAAAAGTATATTTTTTTTCCCCAAGGCAATCAGGGTTAAGTGACTTGCCCATGGTCACATAGCTAGTGAGGGTCTGAGATCAGATTTGAACTCATGTCCTCTTGACTCCAGGGCCAGTGCTCTATCCACTGCACTACCTACCTGCCACCAAAAAATTTTAAAAAGAATGAATAATCCTATCTTAAATTCACATAACATTTTGTAAGTTTCATGGGATTTAAAGGGTTTTACTCTTTGATCCTTGTGGTATACCTCTAAGTTAAGTAAGTTAATATATAATCCTTATTCTACAAGAACTGAAGCTCAGAGCATTTAAACAACTTAAATTCACACAGATTTTAAGTGACTAGATTCAAATTAGAGCTCAGATCTTCAGACTCCTTCCTGGTCCATTACCTCCACAAAACAATTCCATGTTTTGAAGGAATTTGTCAATAAAACAAACATTTGTGGGAGTAAAAAAAATCAAATCAAGTGTTATCTGCTTGAGCAAACCTTTGTTGAACAAAATAAACTTTGTATTTGAGAGACATTAATAAATCCCTGAGAGATGCAATTTGGACTAGAGCATATGTTTTCTGAGTATATAGGACAAGGTTTTTGTTGTTATTGTTGTTGTTTTGTTTTGTTTTTTTAATGCAAAGTCTTGGAGGGGCCAAAAGATCAATGGCAAAGTTTATCCCTATGGAATTACACACACTTGGAAAAAGGTAAATGAGAGATCAAAACTTTTAGTAAGAAAAGTAAGTCACTTTTAGTAAGAATTGATGCTGAATAGTCTTGAAGATTCTAGAGAGTGAAGCCACCTTTTGAGAAGTTTAATATAAGTAGAGCAAAATACTAGGTAGGTACATTTATTTAGTTAAGATTTAGGTGGAGACTAGGAGTAACTTAAAGGAGAGAGATCAGTGAGGTTATGCTTTGGCAATAGTAGTAGAGATGGAAGGATAGACTTTGGAGAGGTCTGTCCAGGAAGAAATGACAAGACTCGACAGCACAATTTGTTTGGTGCATAGAGGGAAGTGAGAAGTGAAATATTACTGTAAGGTAATGAGAATAGTGAACTCCTCGTACTTCCCTTTGAACACAGAGCTTTCAGACTAGGAGGACTGGATTTAGTATGTTGTTGATTTTTTAGTGTTTGTTCTAGACTATTTCTCCTCCATCATCACTCCTTAGTTGTCTCTCTCTTTTTAAGTCCATGATATCTGCTTATAATATCCTTAGTTTAGTTGCTATTAAAGTCCACTTATTTCTATGGTGCCCTTGACTTTCTGGGGTGGGGGGAGGTGGAAGCAAAAAAAGTTTAAGAAACTGGCTACTCATCTCTGCCTTGTGATCTTTTAAAAACATTTTAACATCTTTTGTTTTTACACCACTTTCACATCCAAATATATCCTTCTTCCCTTCCTTACACAGCAATCCAGCCCTTTTAACAGAATTTTTAAAAGGAAAAAGTTCATCAGAAGCTACTAATACTTTACCTGTATGACATTATATAAAAAACTCTCCTCTCCCCACCCCTACTCGAAAATGACATAGAGGTACAATGACTAAATTCTTCTCTTGTTTAAGTCTTCTTGGGCATTATAATTACAGCTTTAAGTTTGGAGGGGTTTTTTTATTGGTATTTCTATAATCATTAGATTATAAGGTCCTTAAGGACAGAGACTGTCTTTTGTCTCTTTTTGTATTCCCAGTCCTTAGCACAGTGCCTCTGACACATAATTTGTTGCTGTTATTTAGTAATTTTATTCAGGCCGAGTCCAACTCTTTATGACCTCATTTGGGGTTTTCTTGGAAAAGATACTGGAATGTCATTTCCTTCTCTAGATCATTATATAGAAAAGAAACTGAAGCAAACAGGGTAAGTGACTTGTACAGGGTCACACAGCTAGTAAGTGTCTGAGGCTGAATTAGAAATCGGATCTTCCTGACTCCAGGCCTGGTGCTCTGACTACTATGCTACCTAGCTGCCCCCTGGTATATAATAGTAACTTAATAAATGTTTATTGATTGATTAATCATTGTATATATTGTTTCTTCATCAGTTCATGTAAGATTTCTTATGCTTCTCTGATTTCTTCCTATTCATTGTTTCTTTTGATGTAATAATAGTACATTGTATTGTACATGTACCAGACTTTATTTAGCCATTCCAAAACTGATACACATTTATTTTGTTCTCAGGCCTTTGCTCACATACAAAAATGTTGTTAAATAAATAAATAAATATTTTGTTGTATATGGGACTTTCCTGCCTTTTACTTCCTGGAGTATATAAAACTCCCTGTGGTCTTCTTGAGTATTTTTTAACTTTGATCCTGTATAAATGCCTGATACCCTGTATTAATAATTGCACAACTTTCCTAGCACAAGACTCTCCATTTCCCAAACCTGTACATTTTCACTGTCTGTCGCCCATGCTAAAAACTCTGTCTCTTCTCATCTTTGCCTCCTGGCTTCCTAGTATCATCTCAAAATCCCTCCTCCTGGGGGGTGGAGCAAAGATGGCAGAGTAAAAGCGGTGACTTGCTTGAGTTCTCCTCCAAACCTCTCCAAATATCTGTTTAAAATGGCTCTAAAGAAAGTCTAGAGCAGCAGAACCCACAAAAAGACAGAGTGAAACAAATTTCTAGCCCAAGACAACCTGGATGGTTGATGGGAAATATCTGTTGTGCTGGACTAGAAGAGGAGTGCAGTTCAGCCTGGGATGGGCAGGCAAACACCAGGCCTCAGCAGACTGAATCACAGGCAGCTGTAGTGGTTTCTAGACTTCTCAACCCACAAACCCCAAAGACAACTTAGAAGGTCAGCAGAAAGGTCTGTCGGACCTGGGTGAGAGAGGAGCTCAGTTTGGTCCCAGTCCTGGGACAGCCCCAGAGTGGCAGCTGCTTCCAGAGCTCTTGGACTACAGACAATGAGGGAATTGAGTGACTGATCAGAGGGGTACTGCAGGGATCTCTTTGCTGGTGCTGAGGCAGTATTCTCTTGCTTTGCCCGTGCTTGGATGTGGGTTGCAGTCCTAGGTGGTAGTCCTGGGGTGAGGAGGAGCACTGGCATGGTGGAGCTTGTGGTGGCGGTCAGGAGGGAATCCTCCTCACAGTTCAAAGGCAGAAAAGAGTGCTTGTGGTCACTCATAGACCAGAGCACAGGCCAGGAAAGGAGTAAACATCTCTCCTTTGATCATACCACCTTGGAAGAACTGAAAATTTACAGGTCTCTAGAAGTATCTCTGACAACAGCTGCACAAACCATCAAAGCTTGGAACAGTACACCCTCCATACTAGAAACAGAACCCTACCTTAACAAAGATTTTAAAGGTCAAGTAACTGGTGGGGAACATGAGCAAATGGCATTAAAAAAAAGTTCAGACTATAAACTCTTACTTTGGTGACAAAGAAGATCAAAATATACAAGAAGAAGAAGACAACAAAGTTGAAGCTCCTACATCCAAAGCCTCCAAGAAAAATATGAACTGGTCTCAGGGAACAGAAGAGCTCAAAAACGATTTTGAAAATCAAGTAAGAGAAGTAGAGGAAAATTTGGGAAGAGACAGGAGAATGATGCAAGAAAATCATGAAAAACAAGTCAACAGTTTGCTAAAGGAAACCCCCAAAAATACTGAAGAAAATAACACCTTAAAAATAGATTAACCCAAATGGCAAAAATTAATGGGGAGAAGAATGCTTTAAAAAGCAGAATTGGCCAAATGGAAAAGGAAGTACAAAAGCTCACTGAGGAAAATAATTCCTTAAAAATTAAAATGAAGTAAATGAAAGCTAATGACTCTATGAGAAATCAAGAAATTATAGAACAAAACCAAAAGAATGAAAAAAATAGGAGGCAATGTGAAATATCTCACTGGAAAAACAACTGACCTGGAAAATAGATGCAGGAGAGATAACTTTAAAAAATTTTGGACTACCTGAAAGCCATGATCAAAAAAAGAGCCTAGACATCATCTTTCAAGAAATTATTAAGGAAAACTGCCTTGATATTCTGGAACCAGAGAGAA